ACCTCGTGGCATCATCACTCGGCACTCGGCCTCACATCACTCAAGCCACCTCGTGGCATATAAAGTATCTTAGGCCATCGGCCTCATATCACTCAGCATATCCTCACATATGGCCCTCGGCCTCACTCAGTCCAAAAATCATCACAAGCCCCTTGAGCATTAGTAAAACAGTAGTTCTCAGCCCAAAATATGATGTAGAAATATCATTTAAGTTTCAAATCTGAGTAAAAGTGCTGAGTTTGTAAAACAATAGATATCAACAGGACTGAGTTCAAACAATAAGTCAAGTAGTGAGGAAAATAGTAATAAAAATCTCGAAAGGGTTCAAATAGTTGGCACGAAGACCAAATATGGCAATCAACCCAAACAAATGAATTTCAGTCAAATGCGCGATAAAATCATCAATCGGGACGGACCAAGTCACAATCCCCAATAGTAAAAGACCCCACGCTCATCATCTAGCGCGTATCTTGCCTCAATATGGCACTACGATGTACAATCCGGGGTTTTAAACCCTCAGGACATCATTTACAACCATTACTCACCTCGAACCGGCTAATTCTCTAGCTCGCGACGCCTTTGCCCCTCGAATTGGCCTCCACGCGCGTCGAATCTATCCAAAATCAGAACGAATACGTCACAATATGCCAAGGGAACAAAGCCCAAGCAAAAACATTCGAAAATATCAAAAATCCCGAAATTAGCAAAACCTGAGCCCTGGGTCCACATCTCAGAATCGGGTAAAATTTACATTTTCAGAATCCTCATACCCTCACGAGTCTAACCATATCAAAATTATCCAATTCTGATATCATTTGGTCCTTCAAATCATCATTTTACATTTTGAAAGGTTTCACAATTTTCTTCCCAAATTTCATCCCAAATCATGAATTAAATTATGAATTCAGTGATAGATTCATGTATTCTAGCCAAATCTGAGTTAAAATCACTTACCCCGATGAATTTCTTGAAAAACCTTCAAAAAATTGCCAAAATTCGAGCTCTCTAGGTCAAAATATCAAATAAAATCCAAAACCTCGTATTTATAGAGTACCCCTCAGATTTCACCCTCCGCGGGCCGCACAAAATTGACCGCAGTCCGTACAAACTAGTGCGGTCCGCACAAAAACAACCGCGGCCGCACAGCTTTCCTCTGCAGTGATAAGCTTTAGTATTTTGGCCATAACTTTTGCTACAGATGTCCAAATTGCAATATCTTTACCTTTCTGGAAACTAGACACGAAGGGCTACAACTTTCGTTTTTGAATCATCTCAAAAGTCCTTGTAGATAAAACGATATGAGCTTCCGAAGTTGGACCGATGACCTGCGGATCTTCAAGACCGCGGACCATTTCCGCGCCCAGCACTAAACCACCGCGCCCAACACTAAAACTTCTGCCCCCATCCATTTTCTAAGTTCAGGAATGTTCGGACTCGCTCAAAACTCACCCGAAACACACCCGAGGCCCTCAAACCTCAACCCAAACATACCAACACCTCCCATAACATCATTAACACCTTGTCGAGCTTTCGAATCACTCAAAACAACATCAAAACACGAAATCAACTTCGGATTCAAGCTTAAGAACTTAGAAATTTCAAATTCCATAAACAACGCCGAAACCTATCAAATCAGATCCGATTGACCCCAAATTTTGCACACAAGTCATAAATGATATAATAGAGCTATTCCAACTTCTTGAGTCGGATTTTGATCTCGATATCAAAAAGTCAACCTCTCGGTCAAATTTCCAAACTTCGGCTTCTCATTTTCGCCATTTCAAGCCTAATTAAACTACAAACTTCCAAAAAAAAAATCCGGGCACGATCCTAAATCCAAAATTACCATACGGAGCTAACCAAATCATAAAATTCCGATCCGAGATCATATGCAAACAAGTCAAATATTGGTCAAACCTTTCAAATTTTAAACTTTCAACTGAGACTGTTCTTCCAAATTAAATTTTGATTAACTTAAAACCCAACATCAACGATTTACATAAGTCATAATACACCACACGGGGCAAGTCATGCCCGAGAACTGGCAAACAAAGTGCAAAAGCTCAAAACGACCGATCGGGTCGTTACAATATAGGGCCCCAATATTTTAAATAAGGACATATTGAATATTAGCAAATAAAATATAAAACAAACAAATAAAAAAAAGGATGGAAAACAAAAAGAGCCGAAGCCCATTAGAATTTTTAACCAGCCAAGGTTAAGGGTTTAAAAAGCAAAGATGCTTTGTCTTCTGAAGGAAAAGAGAAACAGAAAAAGAAAGAAAACAAAAGCAGAGAAAGAAAAAAGGAAAAGAGAAAAGAAGGAGGGAGAAATGGGTGCACTGCGTTGGAGCCATAACTATAACTGTTGAGGAATCTTAAGCATTAATTGTCTTTTACGGGTATTACTTGAACTTCTTATTCTGGTAGATTTTAATTTCGATTCTCTTGATTGGAAGATTCTACAGAGTAATAGAAATTACACTAGTTCATTGCACAATTGAGAATTTTCTTCCTAAAGAATCAATAGAACTTTATGAAATTTGGAGTAATAAATTTTATGAATAGGTTGGAGTTGATAAATTAGTAATTACTCATATGTGGGTAAATATAAATCTACAAATTAAGACTCAAACATGAACCCCGATGATTGGGTATTCTATAATAGCTATGAATTAGCCTAAATAAGAAAATTAACATGAGATCGATGTTATGTAATTATAGATTGATTGGAGGAATTTGTACGAGTTGCTTGATGTGAAACAGTTGGTATTTCGGCACGAGTACCGTGAGTAGTAATCTTACAGCAATTTGTGTTTTCATAACTTACATGATTTATGCATGATTTTTAAGATGAATATGTTACCGATTATTTTGTGTTGCATGTGGGACAAGTCGTTTACTCGATATGATACCGAAATAGTTATTTGAGATGGTTACCGTGTTTTAAATATTTCTGTTGTCATTAGATTTATTTTACTGTTATCGAAATGAAATTATAGATTTAATAAATGAAATTATATGATTTGATAAGAACTGAAATGCCCTATATAGATTTAAAAGATTTTCTTCGAGTATATACGGATTACAGAGACAAGTATAAATGGAAATAGACATTGAAGGATCCCGTAACTAACGGCGGGTTCGTTAGACCTGGTGCACCTTGTAATTATAGATTACCGTTATAGCTCTCGCTAGTAGGAAGGTAGAACTAGCATACCATTACCGACTTCCCTCGAGTAGGGACTACCGTTATATTTGACTTCTTGCGAAGAAGTCCACAGTTATACCGATTACATGATCCGTTCATTGAAACCTCCCAAATGTGAGTATTGATATTATACAGTGGTTACCGAGCTTATTACTGAACTGTTAATTGTATTATACTACAAGAAAAGCATGATGAGACTGAAAATTATTTATTGTTTCTGAAAGGGCATTTTGATGTTATCTGTTTGAGATATTAGCATGTTTTCTGACTTGTCCCCAATAAAAACGGTTGTGGTTAAGTGTTATTACTCACTGAGCTAGCGACTCATTCCCCGCTAATTGTTTTCTTAGAGACAGCAGTTGATGCGGGGGAGGATTTTGTTAATTAGAGCGCACAAGTTGAGAATTCTTGGTGAGCCTCGCACTTGTTCGCGTGGGCGGAAACTTTATCAATTGTTATGGTCTTTTCTTTGAACTCTTAGAGTCGCTCCATGGTCATTCTTTTAGTGTCTTGAGTAGTCTTTGTTATTATAGACTTATGTTGAGTAACGCTCATTCTTATAAAAATTTGGAGATAAAATAGTATTTCTAGTTGTTAGTGGGTGGACTGTTAAAGACATATATTTATTTTAGTTAATTGATAAAGTCTTTGTCATTTGAATTGCTATTAGGATGTTTGGTTGCTGATTTGAGACAGAAAATTTTTTGGGATGGTCCAAAATTAGAGGAAACTCTGTCTGATTTTCTGTAAAATTTCCAATGAGGGTTACTTGGGAACACTAGCTCCTAAGTGCCGGTCACGATCCTAAATTGGGCTGTGACAAGAATACAGAAAGAAATGCAATAAAAGTTATTAACTTTGAAAATGTATTCGATAAATTTACCGAGATTGCAGGTTTGACAGAAAGAATGCAGGATATTTTCCCGGGAAGGACGCTGTGGACCTTGAGGCAGCCGCAAATGAGTCCCGAGAAGGAGTCTTTAACATCATGTTGGATTGGAAAGTTGGGTCCCACACTATCACGGCGGAAGCGAAGATTCACCAAAGAAGCCGCTTCCTCTGATAATTTTTCCGAGACGATTGTGTCTTTTGTATGGAAATCGTTGGGTTTTGAACTCTCTTCTCCCATCTCTTTTGCCTTCTTCACTATCTTACTCACCCTGATACTGTTAAAGATATATTAAGCACTTTGCTATATGATCCCAAAAATCCCAACGTCTGTTAAAGAAGAAACTACCAATTCTACTTATCTAAGAAACTACTTTCTTTGATCCCTTTTTCACCATGCTCAATTTTGTAAAATAAGGTGGACAAACTCAGAATGGGATCACTGACTATCATACGGCTGGGAGGAGAGAGAGGCTAGACTCTTGGCTAGAGAACGACCGAGAAAGAAAATGAGAATGTCTTAGTTTGAATTGATACAAAATTTTAATTTTTTTTGGTCATGTGATCTTAAACTAAAGTTATATGACATCAAAAATAGTGTTTGAAATTTGTGATTTTAGACATGTCATGTCATTCTTACAAAGAGTGTGTTAAAGATAAAATGAGAATGTTAGAATTTAAAACTTGCTAAATATAGAAAGAAATATTCTTTCACAAAAAAGAGTGCCTTTATGCTCCTATATTTGTCTAGACCTCCTTTATCCCATTGAGATTGTGTTCATCAGAAGAGGCATTTAAGTTGTCCTGTATAAAGGATGTCATTAGTTGCATAGCGTGTTTTTAAATCAAAATAACTTTGTCATCTCTTCGACATTGCTGCACTATAAGTAGTAACACAGCAGTTCAGTTAAGCTGTAGTTTCATTGGACACACAACTAATACAAGATTGATGTACATGACTTTTTACTTCATTCTATTTCAATGAATCAGAGGTTCAATTGTGTAAACAAGAAAAATGAGGGACTCCCAGATAATTCGAGAAGTAAATGTTGCCTTGGTGATACAGACAAGAGTCTCAGTCTCAAATTCGTCCACTGATGCCTATATCCATGATTTGCCATTGTACATTAGCTAGAGCTGCTGAACGCTTTTAGCAAATGCACTACTTAAAGTGTTGAGTTTGAGCTCATAAACTTGCTACAGGCATGTGATAGAATGTTGCATTAGAGGTATAAACCAATTTCCCTGAGTCCTTGAGCCGAAAATCAACTGCAACTACAGTCAGGTTCCTTCCACTCCGAATGACAGATCCATCTACTACCACCTCTGTCTAGAAACAATTCAAACATAAAGGGAGATCAACATAATCAGAGAATGAGAACAGAATGATATTCTTTATTTTTTTGTTGGAGAGGGAGGGGAGGGGGGGAGAGGTACACAACATGATATGCATTTGCTCTTACAGAATTCCTATACAATAAAACCCATTGACATTGTCACATTGAGGTAAGAGGACACTCAATGAAAGCTTTAATACTCACGTTGCTCGGAGCAGCAGATACATATGACATGCTCAGTTCTCCAAGAAAGAGTTCCTTATCCTTTCCCACAACAGTTTTGGCACATGCAATTGACACCCTCTCTGCCACAGCTCCAACTGCTCCTCCATGCATGCTTTGATAAACATTCTACAATAAGGATAACGAGGTTGCATTATCGGTCATTAGTCAACAATATTTGACCCTCCATAAGTGCATGTTGAGATCACTGAGATGATATCTGATTGAAATTGGAGAAAGCATCACATATAACGGATATGATTTTTGATTTCTTTTCATTCTTTAAACCCTTAAGCATGAAAAAATATCTTCATCAATCCTTATTACTCTCAAGCCCTCAATGAAGGTGAGCTGATTAGATGGCAGAGAAAAAATCAAGTGCAAGACTCAAGACTGAGGTCACCCTGTCCAACTTTGTAGAGCAACTAGAAGAAGATAAAAATACAAATAAAAAAAAACTGTTCTATTATCTTGCAAAAACTATTGGAATGTAGTACTACAAAAATATCCATATGCCTGTACAGGTTTACCCACAAAGTGATCCTATACAGGTTTAAAGATAGAACAGACATATCCATACACAATATTTCTCTAATTCAACCCGAAAAGTAGATTGATCAAAATCACACAAGGAGACAACAACTCATACCCTCAGTTATGTACGACTCTAAAAATCTCCAGAAGCTCAGGACGAGACATTTGAAGTGTGGACAATATAACATGATAATCCAACATTGGGTAATCCAAGAATAGGAATGAGTTTGACTCTCATGTTAAGAAGGGCAACCCGATGCACTAAGCTCCCGACATGCGCGAGATCCAGGGAAGAGCCGGACCACAAGGATCTATTGTAAGCAGCCTTACTCTTTATTTCTGCAAGAGGCTGTTTCCACGGCTCAAACCCGTGAACTTCTGGTCACATGACAACAACTTTACCAGTTACGCTAAGACTCCTCTTCTCTCATGTTAGGAAGATGTCATCAAAAGAGCAACCTTCTCCTCACCCTCACCTGTATGTCTGCAATACCGGAGGCGAAAAAAGAAGAGAGTTGTATGTGGTGTTTATATTCTTGTTAGGGCAGCTTCAACCTCACATCTCAGTGATCCACTGCCCCCTCACCACCAACCCCCATTCCCCAACCTC